TAAGTTTTGACATGTTCCATGTCATGAGATTACATGAACCGCAATTGGAGAAACTGCCACAGTTTGATTTATTAATCAGTGTAATTTTATTTCAGCAGTGATCATTATGATTGACTTCTGAGTTAAATCTGAATGCATGTGCCATACTTTCTAACTGTTATTGTTTATCTAGAACATGCTGCAGCGAAGAAAAACGAAAGTAGCCGGCCTGTCAACGAAGCTCAAACATCCCTGTCTTCAAGAGCTGTTCAATATAATTCATAATTTCGTTTGTTGGATGCTCTACTAAAGTTGATTTTCAAAAATTTGTTATTGATTACAGACAGAAAGACCAATTGTTCATGACCAATGTGTTTATTAAGTTTTTTTGCACTTTAATTTTAACCATATGGCATGCAGTACACACGAGTGACCCGGAATTGGCGACTCCACTGTATTATTTTCACTTTATCTGAAAGACGAGGTAAGTATTGTACCCCGAGATTTACTAAACTTCATATTTTCCAGAAAAAGCAACAACCTTTTTTATAAAAAAAAAGTTTTAGCGATTAGAAATTGATAAATAAAAAATCGTATACCAAACATTGTTATCTTTCTTGGCTATTACAGTATGCAGAAGATTTAGTCGAATGCAGTGAGAGGTGCGGGATTTCGTTAATGGACAATTAAAATAAATATGATAACAAATCGTATCAATTTGGAAGTTCTCGATCTATTTTTTTTGTCGAATATATAAAAAAAAACCCAAATCAAATCTTGTATTCATCTGGAAGGTGAACAAACCTTTTAATGATCATTCTAGAATGTTGAATTTCAGCCAGTCAGGGAGCCAGGAATTGTTCAATCAATAAAGATCCTTTATTAGCTAAGAATCAAGTTTTGATGACTTTTTAAGAGCCATCTATACACTGCACACTAAAAAGTTGGACATTTTACTTACGCACTGTTGATTTAGCCCAAACTCAAGAAACTGAGAAAGTTATGTTAAAAATTCAACAATATCACAAAGAATGCATACATATTATTGTATTTCCTAAATTTCATTTAATTTAGAGGATTGGAAGTGGATCTTTTTATATCTAGTAGTTGCGCGAACAATAATTTATGTAACGTTGGACAGGGGAATTTCGCCTTAATAACCAATAATGAATAAAACCATATCATAACTAAAATATTTTTAGATTATTAAAAAAAGAATTTTTAGAATAATTTATTACCTTGGATAAAATAAATAATTTCATTTTTAATTTACAGTAGCTTTAACATCTTGAAAACGGCAGTTTCTTTACGATATCTAAAGAGTCAGATTTTATAGTACCAACACCGTGCGCAACGTCTAAAAGAATTTTTTTTTTAAATCCACCCTGTCTCACTTAATTATGGACCGGTAATTATTACTAAATAAATAGGTGTCAAAATAATGTAAAACGCATTTTATTATTGAGAACAAACGCATTTAACCGTATTCTCGGTATTTTTTTTTCACGTATGGATTACATCAATATTAATAAAATTTGTGAAAAGGAGATGGGCAAACAAGGCATGCAGATTGGCCATAACTACATGTACACCTGCTTAAAAATTATGATATTCATTTTGTGAATTTAGTATTGAGTAGAGTTCTTATTATTGAAATTTATAAAATTATGACTGAAACAAAACTTTCAGCAGGAAATTTTCTCTGCAAAAAATATTCTATTAATAAAAAAATAATGTGGTATTCTTGGGGTTCGAACCCCAATAAAATTTTGAGTATCTGGCATTCAAATATATTTGAGACTAACACATTTACCACAGTACTATGCTACACAGCTCTTGACAAGTAGTTCCATTTAAATCATGTTTGTGATCTGACCCTTGACTTGATGGACTTCAAGTATTTCTCAGAAAAATACGACTGTTGTGTGATAAAAGTGTAATTCTAAGGTATAGTGGGCCTTTGCTTCATGTTTTTGTTAACTAAAAATGTATATTTTTACGCATACTTTGAGGATAAACAAAATGGAGCGAAGACCCACTCATATGGAAAAATTATGTTAATACAGTATGAGTAAATGGTCATTTTTGTCCTCTTTGGTGTGTAAATAATATTTTATAGACAAATAATTTCAATCTTTATGAGATTTTTACATATTGTGTAGATTTTCAATAAAGTATACGTTAATGTTAGATGAAATATCAAAGAAAATATTTTTATAATTGAGATTTAATTTTACACCTTCATATTTGTCGCACCATAGGCATTTTGCTCGCCCTGTTCGCCCGTCCTTGGTCTGTTGATACCAAGTGGAAGTCTCGCGAAAATAAGGCATCGCGAAAATGTGGTGATAAATGTATATGCAGTACTACCATGGCCGTAGGAACCGGGGGGTTGGGGTGAGGGGCGTGCCCCCCCCCCAATAATTTTGCCGATATATAGATTACTATAGAAAACTTAGCTACTATATGCTTGTGCCCCCTCATGAAAAACGTCTGATGACGTTTTTTTTTTTGCTTGTCAAGAAATTTCTGATAGTTGATAGTGCCCCCAACTGAAAATGTATGGCTGTGCCCCCCCCCCCCCCCAAAAAAAAAAAAATCAAATCTTGTATTCATCTGGAGGGTGAACATAACTTTTTATGATCATTCTAGAATGTTGAAATAAATAAATAGAAAATACAGTAGAATATAAGTTACATAAGATTTAAGATGTCCTTGTACACAGTTTATATTATCATCAATGTGTTATCTTACTACAAACATTAAAACGCAAACTTTTAAAAATAGATGTACATACATTGATTTGTAGACTTTGACATCAGATTGTGTAATGAGTCTTCAAAATGGTCCAAATTACATCCTTAGTTTTTGTAAACAGCACTGTATTTAAGTTGACTCAGGCATACATATTTTTGGAACGAACCCTTCCTTGTTCATGAATTGAACACTGAAATTGATTGCCATTCACTGAATTATATAATTTTTTTGATTTATAGAATTTAACATTTACTCATGTCCAGATGTCTCTAGAGATAACGTATCAATTTTTCTCCAAGTTACAACCGGTCTGTTTACAAGGTGATGATTAAGATAGTAGACCGGCAAATGCTTCTTCCTCTAAACACAAATGCAGGTATTGAGTAAATGATCTAAAATTCATGGTTTTTAAGACAATTTTATGAACATTCATAATGATAAGCAGATGTCTCTATATGTTGGTGTCCCATCCCTACCAGAAAAGGTGAAGGCTTGCACTTCCGTATTTGAAGATGTTCCCACGCTCTATTGTTGACCCCCTTTCAAAATGTGCCTGAATACAAAGACAAAAGGTCACATCTATCCCTAATTTTGAGTAATTTTGACCCCCCCACTCCCTCAAACTGAAATTTCTTCTTACGGATCCATAACAAGAATATAAAAGTTGAACAGTCAATGCATAAAGATATTTTAGTCCAATTTGGGCATTTCTTCTGCTGATAATGGACTTTCAACTTTTCATATCTTTACGGGGATATGTGCTATTCGCATACACTTTCAGAAATTGGTTCGTTATTATACTAAACAGATATGAACCTGCTATTAATATTGGACTGTTGCGAGGAGCGCTGACTTTCACAGTTGACGGCTTACTATGTACGGAAGCTCTTCTACGATATAAATATTTAGGTCAAAATTTAATTAAAACGAAAATAACGGGTTATTTCAAAGCACAAATAAATTGCCCATGAAGAAAACGACAACCACCCTACCCTTAACTTCCGGCCTTCACAGGTTAGTGCCCCTAACACCATACCTATGACCACTAGAAATATTTCCCATCTATTATCAATTCTGTACCTCCATACATGATGCAGGTTTAAATGTCAAAGTAAACAGTTAACTGTAAAAGTCAGTGCTTCTCGCAAAAGTCCATTATACAAAAGCAATTCAATCCATAAAATGGTTCAAATGCGAAAACTGAAACGTAATTTTCTCTTGATGAAAAACTTATTTTATTGTAAATAAAAACATTTTTGGCAGCAAATTTTGTAATGAGATACTATTGTTATAATTATATACTCATTGGTGATAACAATAATGATTAAGGTCTTGAAATTAGCCACCAGACATGTAGGTGGGGGGCATCATTATTGTTGGCATCTGGTAGATGATTACACAAGTCATCAGATGGAATTTGCAATCTGGCATGGCAGGGACACTGTGTATGCAATGGCCAGTGTTAATCCAATTAATTTTATCCAATCGGAACTAAGTACTCCTATACTGAAATCTTATCTTGATTAGAGAAGTCACACTTTAATCACTTCTTTGTTTTAATAGCTGCCAGACGCACCTAAATTTTTTACGAGAAATCAATTTACCCACCCACCAGCACCCTGCTATAATTTGTTTAAAAATTCATCAGTCCTAAATCACAAGCAAACTAATTTTTGTTTTTGCGTTGTTCAGTTATTATAATTATATTCTGGTAACAACTTGTTGCTTTCTACAACTTATTTATGACTTGTAATAAAAATCTGGGTTTCAAAATTGTATGTATATCACATTTTATTATACTGATGTTATTTTTATTGATAGGCGGTTTTTTAACCCCACCTTTGCAAATTTATTGTCATTTATTCAGTCATTTTTTTTGTTAATCAATGATTGACACTAATTTCATCAACTGATCAAATATATTTGTGGTAAATTGAATAAATGACCTTTCTCACAAAACAAAGTTGTTCTGTCTTTTAAGTGCAAATGAACTTGGACTCATTGGAGATCAAAAAGTGGTTGTTACGTGTTGACAAGTAAACATTATATTATTATAAAGAAACATGGAATGAATTTGAGGTTATTTTAATAATGGAAAAATTTGGGTGACAAAAAGAATTTTTTTATGATGTGCAACAAGAAATTTAAAGATTTCACCGAGGGAGGTGCGCATGCACTAGCTAGGTTGTAGATCATCGATTTAGGTGTTTTTTAACATTTTAATATCTGCAATCTTGACCTTTTACGCAGTTTACCGGAATGCATATAGTAACTGGACTACTGCCTTGAATCAGATTGATTAAATGGCGTCAAAGTCCCGTCAACGTTGGTGTGAGTATATACGTTCTTTATAAAATAGTTTCATATTGTCGTTCATACCTAAATAACTACATTTTATGTTCATGTGTACATGATGACTTCGAAAAGGAAGTAGGTCACCTTGTTGAGTAAATAAAGAACATGTCATGTATAAATATCCGAGAATGACGACATATTTTTTAATGATAATATTCTTTAGAAATTATTTTTTTTGGTCTTCAGTTTATTAAAATTATGATACTAGTACTTTAAAACTATCATATTTTTATTTGTGAGCAGATCTGTCGAAAACTGAAATCAACGAGCTTTGCAGACGAAGTATAAAGTATATACGAGAAAACGATGATAGATTTGCACCTGTACCATATTTTTGGCGAGACAAGCCATCAAAGTACTGGAATGAAATAGGGGGATTAATGATCCCTTACTTAAAGAACAGTAATGGAGATCCACGTTCACCTATCAATGGAAACATACATGGACTTTTCTTCAACTGCTCCATCGATAAAATGTCACTTCAACCACCCACTTTCTCCTATTTTGGAAATGAAAGATTAACTATTGCACCATATGTGATATACAATGCTTGGAAAAATGTGTATTTTGCTGATTTTTACTGTCATTATGGTACCCATTATGTCACATTGGTAATTACGTCATCGGGTTCTGACGCAGATGTTTTCTGTAAACGGCATCATTTGGTAAGGCTGAAACCGAAGAATAACCCTTTTCTCACTGTTATAAATAGTAAATTGTTAGTAACCCTTGGAGTCAATGTGGAACTTTTTTACACAAATTCGATCAATATATCATCCATATTAGCCGATAACCTTGGAAAGTTTACATTTATCCAATCACGTGGGCGCGGGCACAGCAAGCTCAAAGGGATTCCAAAAAACCCTGAATGCCATATTTGTAATTTGGATTGATTGTCTGAGTGAATGTCTACTTTCAGCAGCGTAAGCATTATGTTCATTTTCAGCTATCAAGAACTGATAGGGTTTTGCTTAAGCTTGTTGCCATGTGGTTATTGCATGTTGCTGAACAGTATTGTCCCTGTACCGAATTCCTGCTAAGTACCAAAGACTCAACATTTTATTGTTTCTCAGTATGTTGCAAAATATCAGTAAAATTACTTTTGAAAAACGTTATTTCTCTTATGTTGTGGAATGAAAACATGAGTTGTTTTATAAAATTACACATAAAGTGAAATATTATCAGTTACTGATAAAATTTGAATAAAAACATCACTTATCATTTAGAGCAAATAGACTACAGGAAATTACATATTCGTAATATACATGTACTATTTAAGTCTTTTTCCTCAATATTATTATTTTTACATACAATGTAGATGGCAGTCTTTACATGTCTTTTCCACGAGTCACCTTTTCTGCAAAATAAAATGTGTATGTGCATGTATTAATAAAAAATCCCTTTTTATTCGAAAAAAACGTTTTTTTTTTACTTTCAGTTTGGCAATTCTCTCTCTCTCTGTATGTGTGTGTACATGTGAGGGAAGAGGAAACCATACTGAAACAATCGTGTTCCTCAGAATGAACACAATTTTTTTAATTTTTGGGCTTTACAACCGAGATTAGTTATTAATAATCTCTCAAATTTTCACGTCTATTTATAGTATTTTATTCATTGTGACCTTGTGCATGTATATATTTGTATATAAATGTATGTTTAAAAACAAAGTATTACCTGTTATATATACATGTAGTTTGATCTTAAGCCAGACTGTTATCAAAATGCAGTAATGGCTTCCTGGTACAGACCTCGACACCGTGAGTACATTATAATATTCCAGTATATTTTTTAAAGTTAATATAAAAAGTTAAGGAACATGTAGTTTATGTAAAATATATGAAAAATATTCGATTCATAAGAGGATTGAATAAAACGTTATTGTTCCTAAGTTTACACCTCAGCTAAAAGTCAAAAACTGCTCCAAACATTTTATTGCTGAGAAAATTGAAAAACTTAAATTGTCCAATCGCCAATATCTTTGTACATGAAATAAAGTGTGACTGATGTATTTTGCAGCATATTATTATATTCATTCATTAGATTTAACGAGAAGCGAAATCGACGAGCTCTTCAGACGAAGCGAGAAATACATACGAGAGAATGATTACAGATTCGGTCCTCTACCTTATGTGTGGCGGGATGAACCTACACAGTACTGGGATAAAATAGAAAGATTTATGATTCCCTACTTAAAAGACCACAATGGAGATCCACGGTCATCTATAAACGGGAATCTTTATGGACTTTTCTTCGGATGTGCTCTCGATAAAACTTCACTTCAACCACCTACCACTTCCTATTTTGGAAATGAAAGATTAATGATTGCATCCAACTTGATATATAATGACTGGAAGAATGTGTATTTCGCTGATTTTTACTGTCATTACGAAGTCCATTACGTCACGTTGGTTATAACGTCACCGGGCTCTTGTGCAGATTCCTTCTGTAAACGACACTATTTAAAAAAACTTAATTCTATTGACAACCCCTTCATCGTGGTGGATGAATCTGAATTATTTGTTACACTAGGGGTTAACGTAGAACTGTTTTACACGGATTCTGTTGATATTTCATCCATACTCTATCATAATCTTGGAAACTTTTCATACGTTCGAACATGTGGCTGTGGACACAGCAAACCTGAAGGGATTCCAAAAAATCCAGACTGCCCCTTATGTAACTTGCGCGGATCCATGAATTTTTTCCAAGATTGGTCCATGTCTACGCAAAAAGACATTCTGACTAGGAAATCATTTGACAAGCAAGTAAAAAAAATTGAAAACTTTTAACATGGGGACGTTGGGATAGTTTCAATCAGTGTACTTCCTATATATAAACATAAAAATGTTTATAAATGACTCTCTATACCATTTTAGGGGTCCGATGTAATTTTTTGGGAACTTAATTATATAATCTAAATAATTTTGAAAATCCCAGAAGGGGGTGGGTGTCAGACCACAGGTGGGTGTTTTTCAAGTAATTTGGCAATTTGAAACCTTGTTTGGGAGAAAGAAAATAACGAGAAAAATACCCTCTGTAATACAACTTTACGTATACAATGGTCACATGAACCTCTTTAAAGGCTCAATAATACGTTGAATAAGATTTTTATAATTTTTATCAAATATTTTATCTTCCCCATGATTTATGCATTCCTGTAAAAAGTAGTACTGAGCAGTTTAAGCACTCATACACCATGGGACGTCAAGCATTGTACTATTTTCTTAGTCTAAAAATGTAATTCTTTTGATGCTGATTTAACGGTCGCAAACTGAGTTTTACCGGCGACGCGTAAGGGTATAATGTATTGCGCTCGCTCTGTGATCGGAAGGTCGTGTGTTCGAATCACGGCTACGACTGACCCAAGTCGATAAAAATAGGTAGCAACTGCTCCTTCGCCAAGCGCTCGGCATTTTGAAGTGAAAGTTGCGGAACTTTCGGATGAGACCTTAAAAACGAGGTCCCGTGTCACAGTAGGCGTTGGCACGATAAAGAACCCTCAATGGCCCTGAGTGCCGAGTAAAGGTCTAAATTTGAAGCCCTTCACCGGTATATAGTAACGTCTCTATATGAGTGAAAAATTTTTGAACGGGACATAAATCAACATACAATCAATCAATCAATCAATCAGACGAAGCGAGAAATACATACGAGAGAATGATTACAGATTCGCTCCTCTACCTTATGTGTGGCGGGATAAACCGACACAGTACTGGGATGAAATAGGAGGACTTAATAGACCACAAATGAGAACCACGTTCTTCTATTAACTGGAACCTATTTTGACTTTTCTTCGGTTGTATTCTCAATAAAACTTCACTTCAGCCACCTATAACCTCCTATTTTGGAAATGAAATAATAACGGCTGCATCCAACGTTATATATTATAACAGGAAGAATGTGTATTTCGCTGAATTTTACTGTCATTATAAGGACCATTACGTCAAGTTGGCAATAACGTCACCGGGCTCTTGTGCAGATTCCTTCTGTAAACGACACTATTTAAAAGAACTATTGACAACCCCTTCATCATGGTGGATGATACTGAATTATTTGTTACACTAGGGGTAAACGTTGAACTGTTTTACACGGATTCTGTTGATATTTCATCCATACTCTATCAGAATCTTGGAAATTTTTCATACGTTCGAACACGTGGCCGTGGGCACAGCAAACCTGAAGGGATTCCAAAAAATCCAGACTGCCCCTTATGTAACTTGCGCGGATCCATGAATTTTTTCCAAGATTGGTCCATGTCTACGCAAAAAGACATTCTGACTAGGAAATCATTTGACAAGCAAGTTAAAAAAATTGAAAACTTTTAACATGGGGACGTTGGGATAGTTTCAATCAGTGTACTTCCTATATATAAACATAAAAATGTTTATAAATGACTCTCTATACCATTTTAGAGGTCCGATGTAATTTTTTGGGAACTTAATTATATAATCTAAATAATTTTGAAAATCCCAGAAGGGGGTGGGTGTCAGACCACAGGTGGGTGTTTTTCAAGTAATTTGGCAATTTGAAACCTTGTTTGGGAGAAAGAAAATAACGAGAAAAATACCCTCTGTAATACAACTTTACGTATACAATGGTCACATGAACCTCTTTAAAGGCTCAATAATACGTTGAATAAGATTTTTATAATTTTTATCAAATATTTTATCTTCCCCATGATTTATGCATTCCTGTAAAAAGTAGTACTGAGCAGTTTAAGCACTCATACACCATGGGACGTCAAGCATTGTACTATTTTCTTAGTCTAAAAATGTAATTCTTTTGATGCTGATTTAACGGTCGCAAACTGAGTTTTACCGGCGACGCGTAAGGGTATAATGTATTGCGCTCGCTCTGTGATCGGAAGGTCGTGTGTTCGAATCACGGCTACGACTGACCCAAGTCGATAAAAATAGGTAGCAACTGCTCCTTCGCCAAGCGCTCGGCATTTTGAAGTGAAAGTTGCGGAACTTTCGGATGAGACCTTAAAAACGAGGTCCCGTGTCACAGTAGGCGTTGGCACGATAAAGAACCCTCAATGGCCCTGAGTGCCGAGTAAAGGTCTAAATTTGAAGCCCTTCACCGGTATATAGTAACGTCTCTATATGAGTGAAAAATTTTTGAACGGGACATAAATCAACATACAATCAATCAATCAATCAGACGAAGCGAGAAATACATACGAGAGAATGATTACAGATTCGCTCCTCTACCTTATGTGTGGCGGGATAAACCGACACAGTACTGGGATGAAATAGGAGGACTTAATAGACCACAAATGAGAACCACGTTCTTCTATTAACTGGAACCTATTTTGACTTTTCTTCGGTTGTATTCTCAATAAAACTTCACTTCAGCCACCTATAACCTCCTATTTTGGAAATGAAATAATAACGGCTGCATCCAACGTTATATATTATAACAGGAAGAATGTGTATTTCGCTGAATTTTACTGTCATTATAAGGACCATTACGTCAAGTTGGCAATAACGTCACCGGGCTCTTGTGCAGATTCCTTCTGTAAACGACACTATTTAAAAGAACTATTGACAACCCCTTCATCATGGTGGATGATACTGAATTATTTGTTACACTAGGGGTAAACGTTGAACTGTTTTACACGGATTCTGTTGATATTTCATCCATACTCTATCAGAATCTTGGAAATTTTTCATACGTTCGAACACGTGGCCGTGGGCACAGCAAACCTGAAGGGATTCCAAAAAATCCAGACTGCCCCTTATGTAACTTGCGCGGATCCATGAATTTTTTCCAAGATTGGTCCATGTCTACGCAAAAAGACATTCTGACTAGGAAATCATTTGACAAGCAAGTTAAAAAAATTGAAAACTTTTAACATGGGGACGTTGGGATAGTTTCAATCAGTGTACTTCCTATATATAAACATAAAAATGTTTATAAATGACTCTCTATACCATTTTAGAGGTCCGATGTAATTTTTTGGGAACTTAATTATATAATCTAAATAATTTTGAAAATCCCAGAAGGGGGTGGGTGTCAGACCACAGGTGGGTGTTTTTCAAGTAATTTGGCAATTTGAAACCTTGTTTGGGAGAAAGAAAATAACGAGAAAAATACCCTCTGTAATACAACTTTACGTATACAATGGTCACATGAACCTCTTTAAAGGCTCAATAATACGTTGAATAAGATTTTTATAATTTTTATCAAATATTTTATCTTCCCCATGATTTATGCATTCCTGTAAAAAGTAGTACTGAGCAGTTTAAGCACTCATACACCATGGGACGTCAAGCATTGTACTATTTTCTTAGTCTAAAAATGTAATTCTTTTGATGCTGATTTAACGGTCGCAAACTGAGTTTTACCGGCGACGCGTAAGGGTATAATGTATTGCGCTCGCTCTGTGATCGGAAGGTCGTGTGTTCGAATCACGGCTACGACTGACCCAAGTCGATAAAAATAGGTAGCAACTGCTCCTTCGCCAAGCGCTCGGCATTTTGAAGTGAAAGTTGCGGAACTTTCGGATGAGACCTTAAAAACGAGGTCCCGTGTCACAGTAGGCGTTGGCACGATAAAGAACCCTCAATGGCCCTGAGTGCCGAGTAAAGGTCTAAATTTGAAGCCCTTCACCGGTATATAGTAACGTCTCTATATGAGTGAAAAATTTTTGAACGGGACATAAATCAACATACAATCAATCAATCAATCAGACGAAGCGAGAAATACATACGGGAGAATGATTACAGATTCGCTCCTCTACCTTATGTGTGGCGGGATAAACCGACACAGTACTGGGATGAAATAGGAGGACTTAATAGACCACAAATGAGAACCACGTTCTTCTATTAACTGGAACCTATTTTGACTTTTCTTCGGTTGTATTCTCAATAAAACTTCACTTCAGCCACCTATAACCTCCTATTTTGGAAATGAAATAATAACGGCTGCATCCAACGTTATATATTATAACAGGAAGAATGTGTATTTCGCTGAATTTTACTGTCATTATAAGGACCATTACGTCAAGTTGGCAATAACGTCACCGGGCTCTTGTGCAGATTCCTTCTGTAAACGACACTATTTAAAAGAACTATTGACAACCCCTTCATCATGGTGGATGATACTGAATTATTTGTTACACTAGGGGTAAACGTTGAACTGTTTTACACGGATTCTGTTGATATTTCATCCATACTCTATCAGAATCTTGGAAATTTTTCATACGTTCGAACACGTGGCCGTGGGCACAGCAAACCTGAAGGGATTCCAAAAAATCCAGACTGCCCCTTATGTAACTTGCGCGGATCCATGATTTTTTTTTCCAGGATGGGTCCACGTCTACGCAAAAAGAAATTCCGACTCAGAAATCATTTGACAAGCAAGTTAGAAAAATTAAAAACTTTGAACTTGGGGAAAAGCCGGGGTATCTTCAATCGGTGTACTTCCTATAAAAACATAAAAATGCTTATAAATGACTCTCAATACCATTTTACCAGAGGGCCGTGTTTTAAGGGGTTCCGAGGTCATTTTTTCTTTTGGTTACTTAATTATATAATTTAGATAACTTTGAAAAATCCTGAAAGTGCGCATGTATAATACAGTATACTTCGATCTTTGCTAAGTAACACAACAAAGTGAATTGTGTATAATATTATGTATATGCATACTGATTGTACAGGTTGTACTAATTCTTATGTAAAGAAAAATTTGATCTTATATGAAATATATTACATATTGTATAAATATTTCTTCCAAGATGATGTATATTGGAACTCTGAAATAAACGTTCCGCTGATGCTTTGATCTAGATATACAATGTCAGAATTACAGTGCAAAAATTTGAAAACTGTTACTATTTACAGCATAGTTATACATGAATTTTCCAATCTTAAATCTGTGTCTTTTGTTGATTTATTTCTTTGCTCCTTGTTTACTTGTCATAGTCACTACTGATGATTTTACGATTTTGGATATTTTGGAAAAAATGTATGATGAAGGAAGAAAATCATTGTGAAATTACTGTGGGTGTGTCTAATTGTCTATATATTTACGATTAGTTATTATCTAGTTAAAAATGTGGATTCCTCCTGTAAAAGGAAGTTTTTGTACAATAAGAAAGCCTTGAATCATAAACATCGATATATTACATGTACAAAGTCACCGGAGTCGATCAGGTTTTTTTAAGATTACGATGAAGTGTGTCAACATTTTTATCTTGATATTGGGTACATCTAGGTTAGTTGTTTTCGGAAAATCGGTACATGCATGTTTTGAACACAGTTTGTTTATTAGGATATTTTACCATTACATGCTAACGTTATGAACCTTATGTTTGTTTGTTGCTTGCTACTTAAGGAAATACGTTAAGGATTTGGAAAGGTTAAATCTCACCCACAAAATAAAAGATGCACGTCATTTAAGCTTCATGTCAGCTGGCTCCTTGCGGCTTTAAATGATCTGGAAATGCAGAAGTTCAGAGCTAGCCGTATTAATTAAAATATAAATAATTGTAAATTTTAAACATTATTAGAGTCCTGGCTAATGCTTTATAGGACGTTATACTCTTGATCAATATAGCCCTGGTTTGTCTTCTACGTTCATTATTGCTATAGTACTTGCTTAAATTGTTGTGACGCTATTTTTCTTTTTTGGGGGGGGGGGGGATCATTTTAGCGATAAATGATTTTTTTTTTTTAATGTTTAACGATTACTATTTGATATTTGCTTTAAGCATCGACCCACAATCTGCAGTAATGTTTATACAGTAAACATAATGTCCTATTCTAAATGTGACATCCAAAAGGTTGAAATTTTTACCACAATTTTCATCTAGATATCGATGCTTTAGTAAGACTACTACCCACATGAAAGTGTACGCTATAGCACCCTTGTACCTGGGTATTCAATAAGCCACAAAAGATTTAATTTACATAAAATATATTTATACATGTATCAAATTGAGCATAAAATGCACAGGTGAGCATATGACTCTGGGCCTCGCATTTTAGTAATTCAAACAATTGATTCATTGCCAGTCTATGATTAAAGATAGTGAGGATTGTGATGAAATAAATTCTGGTTTTAAAAAAGGGATTTTTAGAAAAAATATTTTTTTCTGTAAAGGAAAAAAGAAGAAGAGAAAACCGCCCAAATTGGAACTTAAAAACGTCATTTGGCCCCTAGGGTGAAAATGATTATTCCAAAACCTTATTGCACATTTGCAAAATACGCCCCAATCATCTTGCAAAAGATGAGATGGCTACTATTTTATTTTGTGTGAGTTATGGAACAAGGATTTTGTAAAATAAAAAAAACATCGTTATTCGACCCACATTTGGCCTCTAGGGTGAAAATGAAAATTCCGAAACCCTATTGCACATCTACAGGACACCACCAATCATCTTGCAAAAGAATATATGGCTACTGCATAAATGTCAGAGGAGCATTGGGAACCAGGGTTTTGTAGGAAAAAACCGTGGTTTTTCAACTCCCATTTGGTTCCCAGGTTGAAAATGAAAACGCATCAAAACCTAATTGCACATCTGCAGGACACCAACTATCACATTCCAAAAGATGAATTGGTTACTGGTCTGCTCAAATTGTAAGAGAATTACAGGAAGAAAGAAGTGTGACAGACGAACGTCGGAGGGATAACGACAATACACAAACTTTCTTTATAAAGTGTCGGTATAATTTACTCATACCTAGCGGCCGATCATGTCGCGTACATTCTCGTCAAATGCTATTCTCATAACAACTCATATAATTTATAGAGACGTCCCTCTATTTAGGTGCAATATTTCATAATGCACCACATATTATGACTTATTTGGAAGTTTGTGCTTCTGTTTTGAGTTTTTAAATTGGTGTTATTTCATGCTCAAATGCTTAAGCATTTATTAATGTTCCTATTTTTTGATTTTTGCACAATATGAGTGTATATAATAACGAATTCTCAAAAAGGCGTAAAACAAAAATATTTACATGCAGAATGTACAGTGAACACCTAAATTCTTTATCTGGAGTTGTCGCTCCTCAACCTATATAGACTACATGAATCATCAATGTGTACAATTTACTTAAGAGAATATTTCAAACATTGCAACGTGGTAAGTGTATAATTATCATATGTAAATGGTAAATACTTTTTTTTTTCTATGTGTCCAATATTGTTCGACTTCTACAGCGAAGGTGGCCTTACTATGACAAATAATAATAAAAAGGTCAAATTATATATATATATATATATATATATATATATATATATATATATATATATATATATATATATATATATATATATATATAATTTAATTCTGGTTGTAACGCTGTATTTGATTGGATAAAAAATTTACTTTATATAGTATAAAATGGGTTGCGTCACAATAACTTTAGTCAAAAACGTATCGATCCGCCTGACGTTACATTCAAATTTTGTACAAATGGAGTCATTTTTTAAGGACAATCATATTTTTTTCTTACTCCAAATGAATGAAAATTAAACTATAAGGAATGAATTTAATAGCTACCCAATTTATACTGTATAAACTGGGTTGGAACAGTTTACGCTTTTTTATAAACCGCTTCGCGGTTTATAAAGCGTAAACTGCCCCAACCCAGTTTATACCGTATAAAATGGGTAGCTATTAAATTCTTTCCTTAAATAAATGTAAATCCACAGTGCTCGGTAAATTATAGGTACAATTTTAAAAATGAAACACGAAAACGTTTAGTAAAGCTTTAGCGCTTTCATTTTCAATCTTCAGAAGCTTTACAATAGGTAACACAGCAACATAACGTCATAATAAGTGGAACACAAATTCTAGCGTCTATAGTGACGTCATAGTTAAACAATGCGGGAAATTTGTAGAATGGAAACAATATGTACAATTGTGATTACGATTACGATAAATTGTTAAGTTTAGGTTTGAAAATATGTATGAAATGTTTTTCTTTTTCGCGTCTCCGGATGTCACTTTCATTTGAAAGTTTGTAAAAAGGAAATATAGTAAACTGTTTATTTCCACAGCGATCCAAATACGTAGAGCATGCTCTTGCGTATCGAATCAACTGAGAGATATAAACCCCATATGACAAACTCATATATATATATATATATATATATATATATATATATATATATATATATATATATATATATATATATATATATATGAGTTTGTCATATGGGGTTTATATCTCTCAAATGATTCGATATTCGATACGCAAGAGCTTGCTCTACGTATGAACAATTTCTAAACCAGGTAAGTTATTGACAAACAAGTTGATAAAACAAGAATATCAACAGTCTCGTTTAACAATTAAAGTCATCAATTCATAAGTTCTATGTTCGATACAATGGCCTTGTCAGCAAATACAATCTATCATTAAGTCATATGCTGACTGACGTTTTTCACTTTAATTGTCAGGCCATTGAATTGTCGAAGCATTTTCCCGTTATTTCCCGATCATGACAAGGTACACATGACAGGGAATGCTCACTCCTCCGTGGCACCTGATCCCACCTCTGTTTTTGAAGGTCCACAATTGCTCTGCTCCCGATTTGTCTTGTTTTAATGGAATTTGAGCTTGATTACTGTTCATTATATGTATCTCCACATTTCTTTTGAAAAAAAATATTAGGAAATCAGGAAAGGGTGTAAATTGAAATACTTTTAATGTGTATTATTGCAATAGTATGAAAGAATTCATGAAAAATAAACAACAAATCGTGACGTATTATGACTTTATGTGAAGTAACTTCTTATGCCAAATATATTAACAAAATAAATGATCAAACAAAAGACTAAAATGACAATCCAGATTCCTAATGACATAGATACCAGCATTCTCGTCCGAGAAGTAAGCGTCCTTATCAACGTCTCATTTCCAACCTTTCTTGCCTTTTGCAACTACAAAAGAAAATATTATTATTATTCCATATTTACACATATATGTAAAAAGTCAATTATGCAAGTTTTACAATAAAATTCTCTGTTCAAAGCTGCAAACAAATATATGTTCTTTACATAAAGTATACTGCAGCTTTGCTATTACAATAGTAAAGAAACGAACCATGTTAAGATGAAACTTTAGCATTTTCTTTTCTTTTACATTAGAGTCATTAAATGAGTATACCCCAGTATGCAAAGATGATCACGCTGTAGTTATTCTCTGATTGTAAGAGAAGTTCATATGTATTTTTTGACAGGGAAGTTAGTATATTTGTTGATCTAGACTGTGAAGTATATGTAAGATCAAAAATTCATAATAAAACGAATTTTCATTTCAGATCTTACTTGTATTATCTCTATTCCTTTGTTTATTGAACTTAAACCAACATAGCTAGAACATTTCAAGAATGCTTACGAAACATCATGTACATCTGAGCAAATCAAATCTTCAAGGATTACATGTCATGTAACACCAAAGGGAATTTAGCTTTTTGATAAGATAAAATCTGTATATATTCTTTACAAATAAATGACGAGTAACATTTCTGTTTGACTTTTGATTCAATGAAACCCCTTGTGAAAATATACATGTATAAACTAAATGGATGTGCCTGTCTGATGACCTTTTTTTTTGCTTGTCAAGGAGTTTTTGTTTAGTTGTGCCCCCAAACTGAAAATGTTTGGTTGTGCCCCCACCCCCTACACTTAAGTTGCTCTCTAAGGTCTGTTTTTGGACTTTTTTTTCTTTTTTCTTTTTCATAAAATATGTGACGTATATGTATCTTCCATATTTTCTGAAGAAAATGTTACTTATTTACCCAACGTCAGTTTGAAATGTGCATAATTTAAATAAGTTTCTGAGTCAACTAAAAATACAGTTTATATAGGAAAAGAGCAATTAATCTTGTTTTATCACCGTCTGGCTTCTTTCATTACTGGTTAGCAAATGACTGTTTTTCCCAATGGATTTTATTGTGCCAATTTGTAGCATTTTATTAAAAAAAAAATGATTTTTAACAATAAATAGTTGCTACCCAAATTGCAAGACATAGGAACTAGAAGATTACCTTTGCCGCTGTAATCACTGCAAAAATCCCCGTAGGACAGAAGCATATGACAGACAAAATTGAAAGACCTAACAAACAGCGACTATTTTCAGAAACAGGGGATTCCTGAAAAATATGAATTCTCAATAAATATCATTTTTCTCATAAAACTGAAATACATGTATGGATATTTATTGTGTTTTATTTTAAAAGAAAAAACTTGTACATAACATTCTTTAGTTAATACTTTTTCTTTTTACCTGATCCTTAAAAAATCTTCGGTTTGATGATTTTAGGCGGACTTTGTTATTATTGGATTGTATATTCTCCTCTTCATTTCGATGACAGCATTCTGAGCTAGCGTCACCTTTGACGTCATTTCGAGAACACCTGCAATTTACACTGTCATTCTCGTGTGCTCTGGTATCTCGAAGTAACTGGTCTTCCATACTATTTTTTTGTCTGCATAATTATCTTAAAAAGAAAATACTTAAGCTACATATATATACCTCCATGGACAAATGCATTATTATGCAATTAGCTATTAGACTATCCATTGCATATAATAATGATAAAATCAACTTTTTTTTCAAATAATTCTCTCTCTCTCTCTCTCTCTGAAAGTGGGAAAACGGAAATAATCATCGCGATGTTTGGTTTTGTTTAATAAACTCGATCCACGGAAAAATCGATTTTGATGTAGAATTCTGTGTATCTGCAATTGTGTTAACATAGAGACATTTGATCAGTATAAAAATAAAACCCGTTATTTTGCGACATGAACAGAGGATTGTATAATTGACATTTCCAGTCGTAATAAATGGTTTATAAATATCTTGGCTCTGTTAGCCATTGGATATTAATAAACTCCTAATATCCTAACCAATATCTTAAAGTACATAAGCCATATAACCTCAAAATATCAAGTAAAAGCAATTTCTCGGAATTCTTCAATCTGCATTTGATACCAAACATTCAAAACACAATTTGATCAATTCGATAAAAATATGTACTAGGATTAAAATCAAAGTTTTGGATACATTAAACAAAACTGAATATTTTAAAATATTCTATATTTAATTAAGCTGCATATATTCTTCATTACAACTTCCTGACAATAAGAAAAAGAAAAGACAATAAACGATAATTTTTACTTCTGACGCTAGAATCTAACTTAAAGGTAGACAATACCTTGGGATTCTAGATGACGAACAAAGAAGAAAATTTGCTTTAAACTTCAGCCATTAAAGTTTACAAACATTCAAAACCAAGAAATGTTGATGTAGTGAAGTGGAATATTGCTGCAGTGTTTGCTATCTGGTAAGTAGATAATGAGTAAAAATCCTATTTGACAGATTTCATTACTTTTACATTTTTTTTTTTATCCAGAAAAACAAAATACGTACATCGATTAAATTAAATGTATAACATCTAACGTTAAGTTATTGTACAGACAAACTCGAACAATGATTTTTATATAAAACAAAATTAAAAATTGTTACGATTTTTGTGCATACAGTCTGAGAATCTGTAATGTAAATACAGCAATGGAAAACTTACCCTGGTGTTTACAGTTCCCTGTCACTAACTAGTGTCCCCCAGATCGTTGTTTTCCAGACTCTATAAATCAATAGAATTTTTCCTGACAGCAACCATTGGATAGATCAAACAGTTTCTGCTTCGCGTGGGAACTTCCGGAAAACGTTAAATAAAAATGGCTTGTTGTAGCGAAACTTTTATTTTCAAGTTACATCACTGAGGAATTAAAAATCTCATTCAACATCCGGTTTTCGGATTTATTTGAGAATTAAAATATCATGTACAATAATTGAACTAATTGACGTCAAGTCTTTTAAACTGTGAGGGGTTGAAGTTTCTGTTTGGTTAAACATTGAGCGATGTAGTGTGGTATCGTGATATATATCACGTTATTTATAAATTTATATCAAAAGTGCAATAAAAGGTCAGCTTTTGTTTAGAATTCTGTTATAAAGTTTAAATTTCAATTGACATTGTAATGTTAATGACCATTATCTGAAGTAGGAGTTCTGATTTACTGACAGCTAAGTTTTGTTTTAAGTAAATAGAGTTTAAAACACATTATTGGGATGGTTCTTTTAGATCAGTTCAATTAAACCCAAAATTAGTTTAGTTTAGTTTAAGAAGTATTTAATTCACGATATACGTAGAAGTATATACAATGAATATGGATTGTACAGCAGGCAAAAATGGCCTATATTAGTTCTCTCCATAATTACACATGTATGGAAAAGGAGATATTCACATAGATATAGAGGAAAGAAGCTATGATATATCAGCAATCAGTTGAAAAATTATAAAAATCAGAACTTAGAATTACAGGTTTATATGTATTACAGGTGATACTAGTCACTTTCGACAATGTTATCGTATAATTATTCATAAAAAAGTATATTATTCGGTTTATGAATAATTGTATTATATAGTGTTAGTTATTTAAATTATCAATTTTTTTGGTTTAAAAAAAGCTCATTTTAATATTTGAAAATTTCTATACACGCATTTGTTACTTGTTTGTCATTATTTGATGTACGGAATGTGATACCATTTTACGAATCGGAAGATGTACATGTACATGTAAGCGCAGTCAGATTGCTTTCTACACATGTATGTTAGTAAAAAGAAAATATCAAGAACTTTTGAATCATGTTTAATCAGCTCTAATTAAAAAGTTACTTTCTCAGACACTTAAACATCATTATTGATACCATTTTTAGTCATTGTATCAAATAAAGAATAGAACAGGAATAAAAAAGTCTTTTTTTCATAAAATAAATTACAATTCGACACCCCCCCCCCTTTTTCGATGGATTTAACTCAGCTGCTGGACGTGATTAGATTCACGTGCGACATTTTACTTTACACGAGTTTATTAAAATCCTAATTTTATAATATTTTCTTGCACTATTGTTCTCCTATTCTAATTAAAACGATGGAAAATGCGGTAAGATAAATAATACATTTATGTTCCTTTTTTTATTCCTACAAGTCCGAAGCCAAGTCAACTGAGCTAGTTTTTTGAGGGATTAAGAGAAAATAACAGCAGTATTGAAAGTGAAAAATTGTCGTTTATTCAAGTAAACGACGCAAAACAAAAATACACATAGTTAGGGGGTCAGAAGAGACTAGATAAAACTTCTAAAGAACACAAAAATCTTTGGCATCATATTATGCAAGAACTGACCCCCTAAAGTTAAACATTCCATAAATCAGGCACTGATATGCCTGCCATCAAAAAAGGGTGGGATAAAACAAAATGAAACATTTTTTGCTAATGCAAATTGATAAATACATGTGTGTAGGGCCTTTTATAGGTATATAATTTGAAGATTTGAATTATATGACCATGAAAAGGGTGAATGTCAATGCCAATGTCAATGCACACCCCTACCCCCAAAAATTGTGAAGCCCCCTTCCAGACACACACACACACACACCCTTACACACACACACACGGAGGAAGTAATAGAACTTGTTCCTCATATCCATCCAACCCTCTTTTCGTGAAAGAAGGTTATACATGTACATGTAATACTGTAGTAATATATGAAAATTCAAAATGAGTTCTTATAGTTTAAACAGAGCCGAGTGAGCTAGTTAAAAAAACACCGACCCGAAATACATTTGTATGATTTTTAAACTATGAGGAGGGAGTTTATCAAAAAAGTTTGTCCGAGCATTTTTTTTTCTACAGCTCCCCCCCCCCCCTTCAAAAACAGAGAGAAAAAAGAAAAAATGAAAATACTTTCTGTTGTAAAGCGTTTCTGGTTTCGTGTATTTCATAAAGAAACACTTCAAAGTCGAGATAAACAATGTATTTAGATTATTTTTCTTTGACACATACAATGTATGCACCATCTATCACACAAGTGTTAAATTATGTGTTAAATTCTATTCCCCTTTAAAAGGAGTCTTGCGTACTTTTATAAAAGATAATTAAATAAGATATTAAATCAATTGTCTGCTAATTAAATTGCCCAGACGATACTCATTTCGTTGTCAGTTTAAGATATTTAATTCCTTCATTGATAAAACGAATAGTAATCTCAAGACTCAATACACATTTTAAAATAGCCAAAGATAAAAGACTACTGTCGTCGAGAGCGCTCAGGCTTTAAACAAGATATTGATTCAAAAGGTGTTTTAACGTTTTGATATAATGCAGTGTGTACTGCAGACTGTTCAATACAATGTCTTTTACTGGGGACCAATATCGAGGTCACAGATTAAGGGGATCTCAAAAGTTTATTTGATAACACAACTCAATATTCTTAAACAGAAAGTCATAATATTAAAAAGATTTTTCGTATATTACTTTTAATCTCTTTCAACTTTGTATCGAATTAGATAAATTATAATAGATAAAATTGAAGTCGAACCAATATCGATATCCGGATTACCCCTAGCAACATTGAATGGTGGAGTGTTGGGTCGATCTGGCTCGGTAAACGTTCTGTTTACACCTGAGATTAAAACGATCAGTCTTTTAATACACCGTAACTCGAGATTGTAACAGGTAAGTTACGATGAGTTTTTATTATTATTATTTACTGAATTTATACACCTCTGTAAACAACAGTTCCATAATCTATTGCATAATTGGAAACCCATTATGCTATATGTTCGGTCTCCGTTGTAGTTTCGGTCTGAAATTAAGCTGATTAATTGCAAGTTAATGGTGACCATTGGAGTTTCCGCCGATAGAGCATTTTGATAATTAGAATGTATAAGGCATGTTCCATTTCTATTTTCTTTATGAAAATTCATTGCGTTAACACACGAATTTTACTTTTAAATTAATCATTTACCTTATGAACATATAATATACATCGAAAGTTACTCCGAAGGCTGATCAGATCAAGGATTAGCGATATAAAATTATCTCTTTTTTTGTCTGCCCAGCAGTATGGTAGAAGAATGGATTTTCTCGGTCACATCCCTTGCACTGGAAAAAAAAACTTTTTTGTTTAGATGTGGTTATATTTTAAAAACCAACGAAATCTAATGATCATAGAAACTCCCTAACACACCTCACCCCTTCTGCTTCAGGTAATCATCTCAGATAAGTGCTTTGCTCCAAGACCACACAAAAAGATGTCCTAGAGTTAATTGAACTAGAATTGCGTGTTTTATATATTTGTGTTCAGAGATGCCGTGACACAAGCATGACTTCTTTAAACTCATTGCTAAGTTACTGGAACGACAGATGAAAGAATTCGATTTATTGATGACCGATACATTCAGATAAAAATATGCACGGGTTGCAAACCTATATGGTAAAACAGTCATTGTCATAAGATTGGTATTTTTTAATTTTCATGGAAGGTAATCGCATTTTGTATTTCACAATGTCAGAGGATAAAAATGTGAATTTAAAGCCCTAGAATATATATTTTTTAAAATGAAAAATTGACTTTATTTTAGTCTTACATCCTGTAAATTTTGAACCTACCTCCATCTAGTAAATTCATAACATACAATAAGATAAGATAAGATTTATTAAATGATACATTTCAACTATACATTATATCACTGTGCTAATTTCATGGCTATAGGAATATATACAACATAAATACACACTGTAGCAGAATTTTACTGCACAAGATCAAGCAAATAAAAGCCATACTTTACAATCAACTATTGCAGCAATATGGCCGACCGACCCCAGTCTCACCACAGCAGCAGTACGCACGTGTCAGCAGCTGAGTCGGTAGTCCCCCCTCATCAGCAATGGTCGGCTTACAGAGGACCAGTTCTGTTCACCGGTATGGAAATTCTGTCCAAGCGAAAAGCGAGAACTACGTGTAGTTGTATTGTTAATTAGATGTATAAATGTATCTTGGTCAATTTCTTCAGGTTAAACGAATTAAATGTGCTTCTAAAAAGCATAAAATTATTATTCAAAAAAAAAAAAAAAAAAAAAAAAAAAAAAAAAAAAAAATCGGGATTGGGATGGGGGAAGAGATAATGAAGTGTTAACTGCTTTTTGTTAAGAATTATAAGAAATGTCTTTCACAGTAAACTAAAAACTGTAAGGTTTTGAAACATTCTTTCCGAAATTGTAGCATTTACGATGCTATTAATGGGGAAGAATACATGTAATAGAAAAAAGATACATGTATTACATGTAATCTTATGTCATTAATGAATGGTTTACTGTATCTTAAAAGTCAGACAAAAAGTGTGGTTCCTTTTTTTATGTCAAGAAATTTGGAAGCCCCCCCCCCCCCCAAATTGCTTCCAATTGGCATGAAAGGGATACTGAAATGGTAGCAGAAACAACAATCCAGTATTATACCTATATAGTGTTTACCCTGACCTTGTTGTAGGGAGAGGGCTCAATCCCATTCACTTTGTTGGTGAATAAATTATGTACAAATAAAAAATTCATATACATGTATATATATATAATTATATATATATATATATATATATATATATATATATATATATATATATATATATATATATATATAGGAACAACAGCATTTAGATTACATATGATTAACGCAGATATTTTAAGAGACCATCTAAATAAATGATTATCTCATTGTTTCAAGGTCCTAGTGGTTTAACTGACCAAAGAGTGAATACCAGGGCTGATTTCCAAATGGTTGGGAACGGGGACCGATCACCGGAAGTGACCAGTCAGATGGGATACCTAAGCAGGCCTCCACCAGGGACGAAATTCCCAAAGGCGAAAAACGGTCAAATCGGTGAAATAGGGTGGCCGGTAGACACATTCAAGATAGTGAAGGGGATCTAAAAAAAGAATGCGTCAATAAGCATTGTATATAATATCAGAATATCATATTATAACCGATCTACATACTTACACGTGCTAGTGATATTGACTTGATGCCATTTCAGTATTATTTTACCTTTATCTGTTTTATTCTACCGCTTCAGTATTAGATTGTTAGCCTATATAATCATTGTCACGAAAGAAGTTGAAATTCTTTTGTATAAAATCGTTCAGTTTTATATCTTGTGGTTTTGATGTCTGAGATTTCTAATTCAGTTCAATGGTTTTCATTGTATATAGGTGTTGAATTTGATTCTTAAGGTATGGAAATGCAAGCCATCCATCACCTGGACAAATTATCAAGGTCATTGTCAGATCTCAAAGATCCGGGTTATACCTCTTAGACACGAACAGCCAGGGAGAGTAATTTGTTATTTATCTAGATAATTCTATTGCTTAGCGAAATTCTTACTTGGCAGTGGTTGAAATCCGACTCTATCGAAAATCACGACACGAAATCTTGCAGACCAAATCTGAAATTCTAGAAGGGGATGTTCGCACCGAATTTAGCTTTATCTATAGAGACGTGCCATTTTTGTTGTAGATTACTCATAATTTGGAATAAGTTATGTAACGAGCTTGTTAAAACGTGTTCACAACGAATATTTCAGAAAAAGAGGTCTAGATCTGGTTCTTCCACGATTTTGTAATATGCATGCATTCCACTGATAAAAAAAATCAATTTATGGAATACACATCATCTTCTGTGATGAAAGAACGCATGCCAAAAGGTGAAATTTTTTATTGTCATGATTAGTTTTGATTCCAGTGCGTGTTTGGTCAATACATTGTACCTCTACCAACTATATGTACAAACAAACATGAATGGAAAACCTCTTTGCCTCGTTGAATTTTGCCCGTGTTTGTAGTATTTATTTTGAACAATCATGAATTGATTTCAATTTGATTTTGATAAAAAGCATGTATAATTGCATGTTTAATGTTTAGGCCGTGGATATCGGCCTGGGTAGCTCAGTAGGTAGGTGCTACCTCACTAGTGACCCAGGGGTCCCGGGTTCGATTCCCGGTCCAGCCATACATTTTTCTCCTTTTCTGTTACACAAGAAAGAATTGACTATAAGGAAAAGCTGGTGTTTTAAAGTTGGTTGAGCAAAAATTTATTTCAGAATCTGTTACGTTGAAAAGATTGTCCTTAGAGACAACATTTTCCAGATTTTATCCGAAAAATCGCTTATCTAAGTTTTTGGAGATAGCTACAATTTTTCTTTGTTTTCTCTGTAACAGTGCCTGATTTGTCCATACTTGGTAACAATATACTCAATATATTTCCTTTTGGTTCAAAATGTTTTGTTATTCAGATCATAATCATACTTTGAATTTTTAATCTATACTATACAATTATTGACTCTTTTAATGGTGAATATGGTTGATATTTACCAGAAAAAATACTAGTGTTGACCACACCATTTCCATTAACGAATTCTGTCGCAGAGGATTAAAAATGCCCGTATTATGTTACTTTAACTTATGCGTTTTCCTTTCGTAGTAAAGACATCATTTTCCCTCGAAATGTTTGAAGAATAATTCGGCGATAGTTTTTCCTGCTCAGATATACACATGTACAGCTGGCTTCAGTCGTTGCAATCATTATGAGGTACCTGTAAGAGAAATGCAGTTTCCAGTAATTAATCGTATGCAGTTATGCCTGTTGCCGAAATTCCACATATTTTTTTTTTCATATGAATCAATTTTAACATGCATATTGCTTCAGCACACAAAGAGAATATTACTAGAAACCCACCAAATTTACAGATTTAATACACGTGCTTTACTATAGTATATGAAAAAAAAATCTTGTGGATTGACTGCCTGCACTCAGTGTTTTTCAAAATTAAAGCATAATATAATCTGCATTTAAAAACTTCAACAAACTTGAGGAATTTAGGAAACCTGTCGAATTTGTGATCAATATGTAATAATGTGCTTTCTTGTGGTCTAAGAAACAAAGTGATTTTAATAGTGGTTTTATACCAAGCAATATTTAAGGTTCTTACAGTAATTATACACCATGCTCCTTTGTTTTAATCCGTTTTTTTTTTTTCGTTATTTAAATCTTGAAGGTCTAACATCCCCCCAAAATAAGATGTTGAAGACATTTACTGACGTTCTCAGGCAGAATGCGTTTTGCCGAAATGTTGCCTCGCGGTCTCAGACAAACTGTCCAAGGAAATGCACAGTACCCTTAAACCCAGTTAAATGTACATATATAACGATAAATAATGTCAAATTTGATCTTAATCGTGCCTTGGCCCTTTAATATGAAAACTCTTCTCATAGCTATAAATCTTCATTGATCTAGGTCCCAGGCCATTTTATATTCCAGCATACACAGCAGAAAACAATGCAATAGATATTCCATACTTTATTTGTATGTGGATACAAAATAAATAGATGTGTAATATGTTACTTTGAAAGAATTAACATACGATACACATTCTATAACAGAGTATTATCTGGTAGGAGGTTTTCAGCTTAAAATTAAATAACATTAGATAATTGTTTAACGATGTATTTACAAAAAATATTTACAAAACAGTCAGTCTGCGAAAAACTATACAAAGAATTTATTTACACAAGTCTCTCCTCATATTTCATATTCTCCAGTTGCCGTATTGCTCGCCTGTGCTTGTTGAGCATCGCGCGGCGCTGTCTTCGAATTTGCCAAGATTTGAGCTGAACGCTGTTGTTTCTGCATAGAGTCAAAGTAGACACTGATTTGGTTAACTGTTGTTTCACAAAGCTTTCGTCTTCAGTATTGTCATCAAAGTGAACGGATCTACATTTTTCATCCCGATTTCTTCTTGTAGTAGCTTCTTTCTGAGCTAGTCTATTTGCAATTTCTTTCGAATCTCTCGGAATGTCATTTTCGTTCTTTTTGCTGTTAGATTTGGAATACTTCAAATCATTGTTTTCATCGTCACTGAAAACCTGACTGTCCCGTGATCTCTTTTTGACAAATTGACGGCGTTTAATCATAATTTCCCTAGATTTGCTGTGAATGCTTGATTTCCTAACCAAACTCAAAACCGAATCAGAACTTGCGTTCATTGAATCATACCCAAAATCTGTATTGGATGATTCGTCTGCTTCTTCCGATACTGATAGAAACTCACGTGATGACGTATAATCAACGTAACAGGACACTGGTCGTCTGCTACTTCTCACTGAATCTCGAAATGACAAGGAAATAGCTGAATCGGCAGTGGACAAATAAAGCGCAGAATTCTTAAAGTCATCTTCAGGGTCGATTGAAAGGTTCAAAGACGTCCTCTTCCAGTTTTCTTTGCACTTTGTCAGTTTAGAGCTTCTAGATTTGAGATACAGCTTAGCGTCCAGCAAATTATCTTCCGATTTACTGGATACGAACGTGTTTCTGTGGGGGACAGGCATGTTGGACAGGTCAGTGAGGGACAGACATGAGACTTCTGCCACTCCAAGGTCGCGGACATCGTACTGAGATCGGCGCCATTTCTTCTTCTTTAGCACAGAAATAATTGCAGCTCCAATCGACATCCTGCTGACAATCTGAAATAAGAATGATTTTTTTTAATTATCACAATTAAATGTAAAAAAAAAAAAGAAATATTTACAAAATTAAATGAATGTCGTTGTCAATTGCCGTTATTCAATTTTTCTCCCCTTACCTACACAACGTATTTTCAGATTTTGCCTTATCCTTTTTTGAGTTTTGAACTTCTGAACGCCTTTGTATTTATAAACAATCTGAAACGTGGACTTTCCACAGCAGCCTTTTTATACTGGTTTTGCCTAAAAATCGGCAGATGCGCAGTGGTGGAGATTAGCTAGTCCAAATTAGCGCGCTCCAATTTTATTTACAAATCGGCCAACCTTTCACACTGACTGACCTGCTGGGGCATCCCATCTTACAACTGTCACCCGTCAATGACTCACTCCCAGGTAGAACTTCTCGGGTATACCTGTATTTTAAAGAGGAGATCGGCGTGGCCCAATGTTGACTCAGCCCCTATCTTTGTTGCGTCTCTCTGCGGTTTATATTATCTTATTACCTGCAATCTACAGGGACCCTAAGTTTGTTCAAACACGGTGGTCAGGAAATACGCCGTCTGATCCTCCCTCTCCCCCCGGGTTATGACGTAAACGCGGTCATAATATTATTTGAACAGGCTTCCCGTTTTCCACAAGTAGTTATGGTAATTTTCTGTTTGTATACAAAATTGACCGCATTTCGACTTATAGTGTATGTGAGAAAAGGATTTTACAGATATATTAAGCCACAAAACGTTTTAAATAAATGGACCATTTCATTCTGTTTTAAGTACATTTTGCATCCGTTGAACCTAAAATGTTTTATTGACACATTTTACAAAATAAGTTTTTTATGCACTCTCAGGAGTGTCAGAAATGATGTCAAATGAGCGTGCATATGTATATCGGTATTAAAGACGTTTCAAACATTTTTTTAAATGTTTTATATGAGTTTCTTTTTCGTTTTTATTTACTTATTAAATCAAACAAAATTTGCAAATGTTAAATAAAATGAGGAAATGATGCAGCTACAGTTTATCTTTTAAATTCCTAACTGAACAAGTACAAGTACTTTTTTTGCAGAAATTATTGTTTATACCAACTGAGAACATTTCCAACATAATACAGGTGTCGCGTACTTTTATTTGGTATGACACCTTGTTATTAATTTTATAATCTCTGTAAAATTTACGAGTTTCTCCAATTTCTGTGATATTAATTTCACGGGTTACGATGGGAATCTTAAGACTTGTTACATAAGAGCCGCTCAATTCTTGGCCGCACAAATAGCTGAAATAGTTTCTAAGCATATTAATTGCGAATGTGCAAAAGTGGCCTGACTTCACATATCGACATTGTATATTACTTTTAAATCTTACTCTTTTTGAAATATAGCACCAAGTCCAATTTGATGACATTTTTGCTGATAATGAAATTACATATTAATTGGAAATGCGCAGAAGTGATTTCCAGATCTATTTTGAATTCTCTAAATATGAAGTGTGACGCTGAGTACATTCTTGAAATACTGTTTAATACTTTTTCTATTTTAGGTAGCCACCTATATTTGTATAATTTATGAAGTATGGGTTTTAGATGTTGGAATCTGGAGAAGACGTTCAAAAAAGTACAAGTCCTGATTCTGATATTCATATTCTACCAAAAAAAGTTTAATTCATGGAATCAAAATGGTCATTTCCCTCTCTTCATTATTTATCTGAGATTTGTGTATGTTAAGTTTATAGTTTTTTTTTCTAGCAGTGTACCAGAAAAAGATTCCCGTTATTTTATAATGTTATCATAGCGACACCAAGAATGACTCGATTTCCTGTCTTGACTTTAAAAAATCTTTCGAACAATGCTAGAAATTTCTGACCCGTTTAATATTCAGTATTTAAAAAGAAACAGGAAAACCCTAGAACGGATGAGTGTACAATAGAACCATACACTGTAAAATTTCATCTCTAATCTAATCATTATCACCAATGAATCACAACTTGAGATTTGATACGTCAATGTGAATTATCTTAAAAACTCGTTTCTAAATAGTGTGCTTATATTTGATATACGATGTACATACAAACCTCTAATTATATATACATTGTACCTGCACAAATATGTAAACTTCCGTACAGATCTTAAAATAGAAGATTTAAATGTGAACTTTCTTGATTCACATAGCCTTCTTAACACGACACACGTCATGAGAACCTTGCATAAAATAGATTGAAACCCCACGATTACAAGAAATGTTTTTTTTTTCCTAAACAGAAATACGAACATATTAATATTTTAACAGCCTTCGTATTGTTTGGGATGCTAACATAGACGAATGTATCAGTCACCAAATGGCCAACATTTGTCGAATAAGTTGAATATCTAGAAGACATTCCAGAGATTTAAAGAATTTAATACGGTTAGTACAAGCAATTCAAAGAATGCATATATAACAAGTGAATTTACATTGTTTCGATGCGTAAAGTTTGGATGACAAAAACTTGCACAGAGTTTTCAATTAAGAAAGCTTTCCTGCACCATAATTATGACATGCCATTTCAAAATATTCGTAAATTTTTCTAAGCAAAAAACAAGTATATATTTGGGTATGGAAATCTTTATTGTAAACCCGACTTGTGTATTCTCCACCCCCACCCCCCTCCCACCCCCATCTAAGTGCGAGGACATAAAAGGATCAGCGACCACAGGTACAAAAGTTCGATAATTGTCCATTACAATAGATTGGTTTCTTTTTATGTCTATCAGTTACAGTGTAGTTTATCACATTTCTCGTTCTAGAATCTCATCGTATTCAATAACCCTACATCTAAATAAATAATGTCACAATATTACAGAGTCGTTTAATATTCAGTACATAGAAATAATTTAAAGAAGAGTTATTGTGTAAACTTTGTGTTTTGTTTCAATTTTATTTCTGTAAAGCATGTACAGTACGGAGTACCCAACTTTTTTTTATATATCAAAGTACTTTTATACCCCTTTACCACACAACAATACGTCGTAAGCTGAAAGAAAAACTTATAGGGGTGCTATCTATACCCAAATACAGGTTTGGAAAGTATCAGCGTTAACATTTTGAACATACTTCAACAACTCTCAAGGTACTGGTCTAACAACATAAAGTATTATGTTAATTTTTAACAGGTGGTTTGATTTTTTATAAATGATTTGTACGCAGAAAAAAATATCCTAAGGAGAAGATACATAATGTCGTAGACAACATTTTTAAATTAAAATGAATTTAAAAAAAAAAAATCAAAATGAAGGAAGTGAACTTAAAAGACAAACAGTTTGGTGGCATCATCCATATTTAAAATCGTAATTCAAAGCGTTTGTTATAGGGTTATAGGGTAAATTGTAAGAAAACTACGAAACTTTTAACTTTTACAATGAAAAACATTGCACATTCTAAAAGTCTGAAGAATTTTCAATTTAATACGGATAGGACAAGCAATATTTAACAAATGCACATTTAACAGACAAATTTACATTGTCTCGATACAAAACAGTTTAAATGAAAAAAACCACCTTTCACGGAATTTTCAAAAAAAAAAAAAAAAAAAAAAAAAAACTTCTCTGCATCATGTTTATGGGAAGATATGGATATTCCATATCAAAATAAATTCGTATATTTTAGTGTGCTAAAACCAAGCAAACTTCGTTGTAGGAGTATGTTGCATTTGGAAAATCCCAATCCTGTGCCACCATTTGTGTATTTTGTGCCACCATTAAGAGTGCGAGGCCATAAAGCCTTTGCTGACCACAGACACAAAAGTTCAATACCTGTCCGTTACAATAGATTCATTTCTTTTTATGTCATTTAATTTATTGCTTTTCTGTCCTTGAATCTTATCGTACTCGATAACCCTATCAGATAACGGACAAATTTAAATAAATAACTGTATAATTATTATGCAGTATTGTTTAATCTCATTCAGCACAAAGAAATAACCCGAAGAAAGATTGTTATATTAACTTTAATATTTAATTTCTAATTCCTTTTTAAGTATGTAATTTAAGGAGTATACAAAATTTTATTCACTTCCAAATACACGTGTACATTCTAATCCTTCCCTAGCTGTCTCTATAACAGACAAAATAGTTCTATCTAACCGTAGTTAGATTTTGAAAGGTTTCCGAAGGTTAAATATTTTTTAAGAATAATCCATGTAAAAATAGGGTTAATGCAGAGAAAGAAAAAAGAAGGAAACCAACAGTTCTTTTTTGTTTTATTTACATGATTTCAAAATGTATATTTAGATATATTTATTCAATTTGCTTTTTCTATCGTGTTGATTGCAAGAAATTCTTGAAATTAAACAAATTTACAGTGTATTTTATTGCACTAGATGTTTCTGCTTCAACCCTACATGTATTTTTGCAAAGAAGAATGGATAAATATGATCCATTTCCATTGTAATAATATTCTCTGCGAGTTGTTTGAGACAAAGTGTATATTCCTGGGTAGTGAATTTCACATACTTGATGGACGTCCGTCCTAATTATAAATTAAATTAAAAACACCAAATCAGTAAAGATTTTTCACTGATTCATAATTTTATTGATATCTTTAATTTGCGTCATGAGTTTGAAAGGCTTACATTGCAGAGCATAATACTAGATCCTAACCAGACCATTTTCAAATCACATAGATCTATGGGAAGCCATATAGGGGACTCCCAGGGTCAGGGTCTATATAATTTATAGTTTTAACCCTGACCACCCATGATTTCGACCCTGGCCTAGCCATGTTTGATTATATAGACCCTGACCCTGGGGGTCCCCTATGGCTTTCCATAGTATTGACTTAAAGACAAACAACATACAATTACAACGTCCTTGCACGTACCTTACAATACCCATTTTCACTGAGAGATGATGAGCCTTAAAAATATCTTTAAGGTACCAAATCTAAATATATATCATATTCATCATATTGCTACCTTAAATTTGTAATTTTTAGATTCAGTATTATGAATTAATATAGCTTATCAGA